TGAGATAAAATAACAGTAAATGTTGACACATTTCGTCTGTCACAGCCAGAATAAACACATACCATTACATAGGCTTAGTAATAGCCACTCATAAGAAATAACAAGTGACTTTGACCATATAATTCACATAATAGCAATACCCATTTGACCTTGTATGCTCCCGTGACCTGGAAACGGTAGTAGATGTCAACGTGAAGCAGGCAAGTTTCTCAGTATCTTTCATTTGAAGTTTTGGTGGTTTAATAATCAGCCTTTTATTTTAAGTTGAATATAGATATGATTCATGTAACTGTGAGGTATGCTGGTGATTTTGTTACCATGATCATTGTGTCAAACGCAATAAGTTTACAGATTTCGTCGATCGGCAATGACCACCCTCCTCAGCAGGTGCGCGAAAATGGGCGTAACAAAAACAATATTTCAAAATAACATTCATGCTTTCCTGAATGTGATAAGATATTCGCATTTGCATGATCATATGTTAATAAAATACTCATTAAATATATTTCAGTTTCAGTTCCACATTATATAAGGGATATTTTAGTGTGTTTTATGAGTGTTGCTCTTATAATACTATGACTGAATTTAGAACAATTTCAGACAACAATTATAAATAAAATTGCACCATAAATTGTAATACCTCCCTGGTTGGAGGAAAGTACATGGGAAAACATCCTGCCTTATGTGTTTTTTCCTGAGTTCTTAGCAATTAAAAATTATGTATTTTTTGTTTGGTGTTTAACAAAGCACTCATCAATATTTCAGCTATATGAAGGTGGTCTATAAATAATAATAATAATAATGATAATAATGTATTTAGTTGGGCTACTTTCATAGCATACGCAGGTGTCTTGACAGTGATGCTAGTTTTGGGAGCATTAGAACAAGTATGTACCATATTTTACATCATCAATCAATGTTTCCATGAAACAATATCCATAAATAAATAAATAACAACGTTTTTCAACAAATATATATACATTTCATAGGCAAAATTTTTTTAAATTTTTTTTTTTTGCAAACAAAATATTCGTCAACAACCATAACAGTAAAGAGTAATATGAAATGATTAAGATTTTAACAGGACAAACATATGTGTAATCTTTTAATCATGGAGACCTGAGTAGCACGCTATTTTATAATTTACCAATGAATGGTACCTTTCGAAACATGGAACGGGACACATGTAAACATTGCAGCTCTTGCAAATGAAAACCGTCTGATGCCTTCTTGCAGATCTGTTTGAGCATACTACACAATCGTTGCACGACATCTTACCTTTTGGGGTCTTTTCCTGTGTCTTACCTGGGAAATGGCGAGCTGTAAGTCTGGCAGGACGCTCCAGGTTGGCTGCAGGACGCCAAGGTCTTCCACTTCCAAGTCGCTCGTGTCCCTCCAGGAACTTGGTGGAAATAACCAATCTAAAATTCTCAGAATTGACCCTCTTACCTGGGTGTGCAGCTTTGTAGATGACAAGTGCATTGTTGAAAGAGAGTTCCATGAGGTACAAAAATACCTTTTTCTACCACTTACAACACCTGTGGAGCACAACGTAATACTGCAGTTGCTTGTCTGCCAGGTCCACGCCTCCCATGTGCTGACTGTACAACTGAACTGCTTTTGGTTTTCTTACCTCCCTGAAGTAGTTTGGTGCAGACCTTGATATTACTCTTTTCAAAAAACAAGAACCATTGTGAACACTGGTCAAAAGATTTACTTTTCTTTTATCTGTCCATGTGATATACAGGAATTCATTATCACGAAATAAATGCGGATCATCACCAGCCTTGGGTCGGGCATCCTTGACAGGCTGTGGTACATCCAGTCGGTAGGCCCTCAGTGTTCCACAAGCACCTGTCTGGTTGTCAGATAATTCCTGGAAAAGAGTGGGAGAAGTGAAAAAATTGTCCATGTACACATGGTGACCCTTACCATACAGTGGTTGACACAATGATGTAACAACCTCATACATCAAACCATGCGGTCTCCCTCCCTCCTCTCTCCCTGTATAAACCTGCAAGTTCCACATGTACCCGGTCCTGCTGTCTGCCAGACCCCATGACTTGATCCCCCACTTATGTGGCTTATTTGGCATATATTGCAGCAAACCTGTTCGACCCTTGTATGCTATCATACTTTCATCAACAGATACCTCCCTGTCTGGTTGAAAGTGCCCCTGCCATCCTTAAACAAGAATTGTCATTAGAGGTCTTATTTTGAATAATTTGTCATGCCTTGGATCCTCTTTGGGGAAGTCTTTGGCATTGTCATTTAAATGAAAAAACATCATGATCTGTATAAACCTATCCCTGGACATGATGGCTTTGAACCCTTTACATTCGATTGGGTCACTTGACCAGTAGGATTCATAAGATGGCTTTTTTGACAGGCCCATCACCAACAAGATAGAAATGAAAGCCCTCATTTCGGAGGTGTCAACATTTTTCCAGTTATTCGCACGTGAATGTACTTTCAACGTGTCCATGTTATCAACCTTAAATTGCGCCGCATACCTGTTGGTTTCAGTGACAAGTAAAGCAAACACTTCATCACTGAAAAAAAGTGAGAAGGCATCAAACTCACTGACATTTTCACAAATATTTCTTGGCCCCGATCGATCAACAAAATCTCTTAGCCATGGTTTTTCGCTGGCTCCGACTGAGGGGGTCCTCTAAAATTTCTTCTTCGGCGTCTTCAATGTCCAAATTGTCCACTTCTTCCAAATTCACGTCATCGAACCCGAAAAAATCGTCATCCCCTCGCTGTCCGAATTTCCGAAAATTTCCCTAAAATCTTTGATCGCGGAAGCCATAATGTAACTTCAAATGTTTTTTGCCTTTGGGCGGAACGCAAAGTAATTCGAAAACTTTTGAAAATTCTATCAACCGTGACTACCCAGGTCAATTAGTAATAAACAAGTGATTATGTTTACAATAGATAATTACGTCATTTCCTTTTATTTTGGCGGGAAAAAAATTCCGGAACTTTCTCGAAGCCATCCATTTTAGCTCGGGGCGTGGCTGTCCGCTTTCAGCAGGTACGATAAAATTGCAAGTATGTCGATATATTTTGAATCTACATCATATTTTGTTATTGCATGCTTCAGTCATAAAGCTATTGCGTTCAGGTTTTGTGTTTTATCAGTTATTTTCATGTATCAGCTTGGCGATAAGCTTATTAGTGGTCATGTTTTCAACAAAACAAATCGCGAGTTATGTCACGCCCACACGTGTCATCTTCTCTCATCAACAGCTGGTCAATGCCGATGTTCGCGAAAGTTTTTCTCACGAAACCATTTACGAATTCATTAAATATTAGATTTTTAAAAAGACTGATAAATTTATGCATTTGAATTTAGAAACTTAAGTTACATATTAAAAATGTGAAGTTATGGTATTACGGCATCGCGGTGTAGGTAGAGTTGTTTGTTTACCACCGTTGCCATGATCGTGTCCGCTTTATCAAGTCGATGATGTGACGACCAAAGTTGTTTTTGTTTACATTTAATTAAATCTAAAGTTGCTAATTTTTAGAAATTAAGGTACTCCAGTGTTTTTAGTTCATGAAAGAACACACAATTGGGATCAAATTTAAAAGAAATACTACATCTAAAAGAAAATATCGGATGGCATGCCACTCAACGTGAAGCACCTGGAGTCAACAATGGCCGTTACGGATGGCTATGTGCCGAGAAAGTGGGTAGATACTTTTTTAACTCGCAGGATTTTCTTTTTGAGGTAAATAAGCTAATTAAGGTTGTGATATTTAGCAAGCTTAGCATTTATGCATATCATCCTTCATTTAATTGATATGCAAAGCCAACTTGGTATGCAGTTATTGCGAGTTTTATTTTGGGGTGTCGTTATGCTATTCGCTTGTCGAACTGGTTCGACAGTAGCAACACGGGTAGTGACAAACTCTGTCGAACTGGTTCGACAGTAGCATTGAGAGCTTTAAAGAACCTTACAAGATATGATCTGTAAAGTAAAATTTCGGTGAAACAAAATGATCAAAATCAAAATCAAATTTGGCTGCAACTATCAAAGATAGCCAATAACAGTTATCAAAGTATTGATTTGTTGTGTAAGGAGACAATTCTCAGAAAGTTTTGAAGCATTTCGTGCAGTGGATTCAGAGTTCTATGCTTTTAATGACATGTACCCCCAAAACACTGTGAAAACATTGACTTCAATATGGTTGCCAAACCACGTGTCCAATGGCCAAAGTCAAAGAACAAAAAATGTCAGGCACCTAAAGCAACAGACACATGCCAATTTTGAAAGTAATCGGACAAGTGGTTGGGGAGCAATAGGCCAACATAAATGTTCAAAAAATACTTGTTTTTTGGTTATCTGCCCTTGGTCTTTGGGCCTACGGTGTTGGAATTTTGTGGTATCTGCTTCAGGACATTGGGAATCTTTGTGCCAATTTTGAAGAAATTCTGAGCTGTAGTTCTTGAGTTATGATTGGAACAGAAAAGGCCGGAATAATAATAATAATAATAATAATAATAAAGAATAATAATAATAATAAATCGAACAATTACAATAGGTCTCTTGCCTTTCAGGCATAGAGCCCTAATAAATGGGCCGATTACAATAGGGCTTCCAGCCTTTCGGCTTGGAGCCCTAATAAATCGAACGATTACAATAGGGCTCTACAGCCTTTCGGCTTGGAGCCCTAATAACATAACAAAGGTGGAAACTTAACAAGGGAAGCCAAATGATAATTGTGCTGATATGTGATTAGAAATGGACAAATGAAATCCAACACTTAACTGTTCTCTTCCTTGTTTTTTATGTGTTTACATTCTTAACACATTTTACAGTGTGGTGACACATGTGGGGTCCCATGATGACATATACCACTGCTAGGTTATATGATAGGATATGTCAGTGGATACCCTGATTTGTGTCGAGTAAATATCTGCTTTTAATGCCAGGAATCAGGCGGACTGAATCACGCTTTTTGTACTGTTGTTTTTCTAAATAATCTCTCACCTGAGTGTAATCCAATTCTTAATCTCATAGGAACATCAGGCATATGACGTATGGTGAACTTTCCACACTGACTCAGGAGATCAAGCGCCATCGTACTGATTTCTCCAGCATGCCTGTTACCGTTCCTCACTGGCAGTCCACTTGATACCATGTAAGCATCTCCTATTGTTTCCACCTGAAGACCATAAACAATTTAGCTTGTCAGTGTTGACATGTATTCATGTTTTTGAGCTCACTTTTTCTGCCCATCGTCTTTTACATGAGCTATGACATTATCAAGTGTTTGTCAACACATTCCGCTCCATTAACTAATCGTGCTCATGACGTCGGGCAATTAAATTTTCATGTGAGTTAAAATTTAACGTTGCTTTGGCATTATATCAGACATATAGCGACAAGAGCAAGTTGATATATATCCAATGGGCGATCTTTTTGTTCCAAAGGGCAATAACTCTCCTTTTGAAATGATATAAGCGACGGTCCAACCTGTCGCTTCCGGTCTGGTTCCCGGATCTATGCGCGCTGCAACAACTAGTAACATGTAGAGACGGAGCCAAGCTGAAGAGTTACCCTGTTGCACCTTCGTTCAAGAACGGTCGTTTACAACTGAATATTTTTAACTGGCACATATTTGTAGTGATTATTAGTTTATAATATCAACATTTGTTGAGTCTTCAACTACAGGACGAATTGTCACTTTGGAAGATAGTGGGAAAAACGTCATGAAAAACGGTATATTGCCACGGTATTTTCTACGTCAGAAAACAGCGAAGCATTCTGTCAGTCTGGACTAACATATTGCATCGATGAAATAATGCAAACTCATTTTATTTATCAGCCTTTGTGTTATTTCCCACAACAATGAAAGAATTCAAATCTCAACAAATACTACCATGGGCTTCAATTTAATAAAATTAGTGATACGCCTACATTTGCAGCACACAGACATCTTTGACAGGCCTTTACCAATGATCTATATAGTAAGTATACATCCGTGCCTTAACAAATATTTTAAGAAGAAATAATGTTCAAAATAATAAAACAACTGATTTTAAACGATACTTTTTATATCAAAATTAAAGTTGCATCTGAATATTTAAATTTATATTATTTTTTAGAAATATGCCAAATGAAAATCTGCCATGCATCTATTAAGCATTCAGTTACTCAGTTGCAATATACATACCAGTCATCATACTTTGAAATAAGAGATTTACCCATATTATTCTGTCCCTTATAACATGTGTCCCACCATTAAGTGCTCTGAGTCATCACAGATATTAATTCATTTATCCATCATTTCTTACAGAATTCTGATACTCATGCTCTTAAAATAGAAGTAAATTACAGAGATTTGTCCCAACAAACAACAAATCATACAGACTACCTCACAAAATGTGTATGATGCATAAATAGATGTAAATCATAGTTTTATCTTCTTGTTTTAGTAACATTATATTTATTTTAATGCTGACAAATTATTTCCCATACAAATCCACACACTATCCTGCTGTATCTAGGTATCCTGATTTTCATTCAACAGTAATTCAAGACACCTGTAGTATAAAGTATATTTTGTAGATATTATTATCATATAGCAAATATGAATTTAGGAAGTTTATCATCAAATCTTCTGATGGTTAAATAAATGCAAATTGAACCCCACAATCATTCCATGTAAAAAATTGGATTTATTTATGTTATTTGTTTTGGCATATAACAGATTATACTTACATATCTTACAGTCAGTGTCTATAATCAGACCCAATATGTATATTGACTGAAAATTTCAGTCAATATGCATATTGACTGATTCACTCAGGCAAGGTATATATAATTTTCATTCATTTATTAATGCCTGAAAAATAGGACTGGATTTTAGACAGACTGTCTGAAAATGAATTAGACTGCATAATTTAATCTCCTCAATTTAATTTGGATCTATTTTGATCTTATGAAGATCAAATTAAGTAACTTATGTAAGAAATCAAAAATGTTTTCACAATGAATTGATTGATTTTCCAAACATGAAAGAATACCAGAGTCCTTTTTTTATGTTACTTATCTTTATTAGCATAATATTCAGTTCAGAAACAGATGACTGCTAAAAAGTCATCCATGTGTAATCAAATACTAGTACACATGCACAAGTATGCCAAGATATTAAATAAAATAAGAGTCATTGTGCAATGCAGATATCTGTTGGTGTGCAGAGAAAAAAGAATAACATTAATAATTTGTTCATGTTTGAATTTGAAACATCAGTTTAGAACAAGGAAACATAAAAAGCATGGCCTAACGAAGTTAAGAATCAGTTTTATTTGTGTTACAATCATATGATTATTGTCAATGCAAACTGGATGTAGACACTGCAATGTTAATACAATCAACATTATAGAGATTGAAAATTAGTATGAATATGTATTGTTTTATTTTTTTTATAAATTGTAGTTGGTACAAATACTCTTGAATATGTATTTTAACAAATATATAGGGTCCTCTGACTGAAAATTATTTTTTTTCTACCTTTTAAAATTTAAAAAAGGCCAAATATAACAAATATATCTTTCATTGATCATATTGAAATATAATCATGGTAGTATTTGGAAACAAACAGCTACCATTCATACATAAAATCCTTTCATACAACATGCACCAATTAACCCTTAAATATCAAAACAGATTTCAGTGATTTCCATTTCTTTTATTTTGAACATTGTATTATGATATCTGGTTGATAACATAATTTTACAGTGCCTGTTCTCTAACAATTTCTTGAAAACATTTCTCATTGCTCTCAATTATATATCTAACAAAAAGTTACATGTGTTGCTGTCAATATTCATAACATTGAGGCTACGGGCAACTTTACGTTGTATCAGACCTTCACATTTCGCGTACCGTTGTACATACTGAAATGCATGCATATGATGTAGCATGCTCGGCGATACTACAACATAGATATAGGAACGTATACAAAATCTACTTAATTTTTAAAAGTGTGATATTCATACATCAAGGGCAACACTTTCAGTACTGATTGCAAAACGTCAACAAAGCGACCTGGAATGAACGATCAGCTGATCTTACCGCATCGCTTCTAACGCCCATCTAGTGGTTAACTATACAATATAATCAGTCATGGTCATCCCTGATGTATCATTAAATCAGTGAACATTTATTTCCGGACATGGCAATAGATAAATCATCGTTTAGGCGAAAAGATATACTGTCCACACACAAGCGTGACCGTGGCCGACAGAGGTGAAGGTTATACTAGTTAACTGTCTATAGGCGTCATAGTAACATGTAGTGCTCGTATCGCGCATACCACATGCGCCATCAGTTTAAGGTTGGACTATCCGGGTCAGCGCACCTAGCGGGTTAGTGAAGGGAAGATAAATTGAAAAAGATCACCCATTGAATCATGAATACAAAGTTGTATTTAAAAACAAATTTGTCAAACATATTTTATCTTTACAATATTACTTGCAACAGTTTAAAACACGGGCTATTAGTGTCCAGCAACCAAATCTAGGCCACCTTACTGGGCATCCTGGGAACTTACGGTGCTTCCTGCAGATAGCCTAGCAGGATTTATGTCATCACTTTATCTACCAGTGGTTGTGCACAATACTAGCCAATATTAAAAAATGTTCCGCAGTGAGTTGGCTTAAAAACACTGGTTGATGATAGTTACATTGATTACAATGAGGTACTTTCATTGCATGAGCTACATGCCGCTCTTTAGCAAGCTCATGATACTGTAGCAGGGGATGATAATATCTATTACTGCTTATTGAAGCACTTGCCTTAACCACGTCTTGAGACACTTTTAGATATTATTGCCCAAATATGGACTTCCTCCTTCATGGCATAATGCCATTATAGTCCAGACCAAAATCTGTCTGGGATCATACAGATCCCATAAATTAACTTTAACCAGTTGCGTTTGCAAAACCATGGAACGAATAGTGATTAGTTTAGTACATTCTCACAATATTCAATGTGGTTTCCGGAAACATAATAGTACTACAGATTATTTAGTACGCTTAGAATCCTTTCTGAAAAAATGCTACTTGGCATTTTAAAGCATTTACATGATTTTGGCTTGAGAGGTCGTTTACCTTATTTTATATCACAGTTTGTAGCAGACAGGCAATTTCTAGTCCGAGTGGGTACAATCCTGTCTGACCATTATAATCAGGATCAGGGTGTCCTGCAAGGCAAGATTTTGTCTGTCGCTTTATTTAGTATTAAAGGGGCACTAATCTCTGGCTTCTTCTCGGCAGTCTGACACTAGCCGCTAGGGTTAACTAGCTGCCTTGAGTCAATTTGCTTGCTGATGCAACTGAGCGTGCCAAGAGACTGGGCTACCGTCTGCAATGACAGCCAAATGAACTTGGAGGCAATATTTGTTTCACACATCTTTTGAACACTGAATGGTTACCCGTGATCTATGAAGATTTCGACAAGGGCGCATGTTAATTCATTTCTTCAGCCTAAACAAACAGACAAAAAGAACGGCGGAAGCTCATCGGATGTTGTTATTTGGAAATACCCCTGATTGTTATAGTTTAATAATATAAAAAAGTATCCCTGGAGTGAAAGCATTTTCAGATTTCGGATTGCATGGATAATACCATTACTACTCCCTTGTTGTCATCCATGTTTTCTGGTATAACCCTACACTTGTGTATTTGTTGTCAGTCACTTGATGCTCAGTTAATTAATTTATTACAGGTATAATTAGTGGCAGCACCACTCAGATTACCGGATAAAGGTTCCCATTTGGCATTTCTTGTGTCTGGGGTAATTATTCAATCTAAATCCAGGTTTGAAGTGAGGTGAAATGTGTGTTATGTATTATGCATGTGGCAGCCCAGCAAGAGATGAATAATCAGTTGATTTACTTTTTTGTAAATCAACTGATCATTCCTAGCCATCAAAGGATCAACAAGAAATACGTTGATTGATTGACTGTTATTTTGCATAGTGGATATGTCAAAAGTAAGTGTTTACATGTGTAGGTTGATTGCTCATTGTTATCTTACTCTATGTATTTTTTTTAAGAACCGAGGACATTATGAAAATAGTTGTCACGTGGGCTTTCTCAGCTGACCTTTGAGACTTGACATCTATGTGAGACAACTGAAACAAACTAAGTGATCAGTTGAGAAACGAACACGGGTTATAATATCCTAAAACAATATTTTCAAATATTTGATTGTTACAGAGACATGTGACATTGAATAAGTTTTTTTGTATTGCTACACTGTTATCTGTAGCTTGTCTGGCATCAGACTACAGCTGTCTGAAGGTGTAACTCAATTGTCATCACATAGCACGCCCGTAGTTAGCTCACCCATCGGGGTAATTTAGTAGCATTTTATTTCGTCAATAAACAGTGTGCTGCAGGCTCAACAAGAATCCCCAATGAAGCCAAAACAATAAATATTTTATTAAACATTTGCCTTGTCCGAATCCGAGGAAATAAAATTAGGGTTGCATACTAGTTTCGTAAAATCTCCGTCCAAAACTTGATGATCCGGAAGTGGTGAGTCATGAGTTCTATACAACTTCCGCTTAAATGTAGGTAAGGGTAGCTGGTCATTATGTCTGAGCTTCAGTAGATTTTCAGACACCTGGTCTACCACTTTGACTGCATAACTCGACCAGAGCAATGTGTGGTGGGTGTGTTGAGATTATGTAAGAGCATGACATCCTCCATAATCCGGCATCTTAGGTGGTAAATTTTCTTTCATAGGAGGTTGGAGTACAGGCATAAGATGATATAACTCCTCAATGAGTTTCACAAAGCTGTATCCCTCTGTATAATCCCACTGGGGTGAAACGTCAGACTGATTAACCTCCTCATATAGCTCCGATTCCGCCTCTGAATGACTGTGAGTAGCTCCTTGGAGGGGTGGATGTTCATAATAGTCCATACACTCAATGTGTTCGCCGTGCAGTTCATCATCTGCTGGTGTCCAGGATTCCTGTATGTGATGACTGCCTGTGTATAACAGAGCCTGTACGGTAATCTTTGTCACGGTCGGTTGGCCGATCAGCTGGACAGTAGGTTGGACGGTCCCGTTTTGTCACTGAGGACGGTTTGGGTACCGTCTGTTGATGGCGACCATATGGTAGGCCAGTCGGCTGGACAGTCTGCTGGGTTACCGTGCGGTGACCGTACAGTGTCTTACCTGGGGAGTATGGCCTTGCAGTACACTGACAGGACACAAGCGAACGGTAGGGTAAAGCTTGAGAGCTTCTACCTGGCTGGTCGGACTAATGTTACATGCACATACAAATTCCAGATTGATCTCTATACATTAAGGGACAATCTAGTTTACGCTATGGCAGTTGTAAACCATTTGTAGAGAAGATACAAAAACAAGCTAGATTTTTAACAGTTCTACAGTCATTAGTGCAGCAGATAAATAGCTGTGTAATTACAAACAGATTTGTTATTGGTTGAGATCCATATCCATGAGGGAAAATATTGGTCTTACCTTATAGACATCATAGTTATCTATTGTGGCATCAAACATTGTGTAGAGATCATTTAGTAGGTCCACAACTTGCATAGGGGTGCTCATGGCTGAAATAGTGGTGAAACCTACAATGTCACTGAAGTAGATAGTTGTTTCTTCAAATGTCTCTGCTTCAACTGGACGTCCTAATTTTAAGCTTTCTGCTACAGTCCTGAAACAAAGTGTAAAACCAATATTATCTCAGTGTGAGTGGGGAAGCCATGTTAAACTGTGATCGTGAAATAATCTGGAACAAAGTTAAAACCTATTTCTCCGCACTTTATATTCATATCTGCAGAGATGCTTCCTTTAATAGTTTGTTGTATGCAGATTACAGCCGTCCTTCCAAGTCTCGCATGCATATGTTATGTGTTTGCTAACACCATGACATGATGAGTAAGTGAGTGAGTTAAAACTTAAAGTCACATCAGCAGTATTTCAGCCATATTGTGGTTTTCAAAGGTTGTACATCATAAATACATGTAAACTGAAAAACCCTGTCAACAATGGACAGTAAAATAACTAGATTTATCACAGATTGAAATTTAAAACTAGCTGGGAACCATAAAAATAAATCACTACGCAAAACAATACATGATAAAAACGGGCTATAGATCACCAGTAGCCAAAGTTAGGACATCATACTGGCGACCATGGGAGCTTACGATACTTCTGCTACCTGTGCGGTTCCCCAGCAGGATTTACACCATTCAACCGCAGGCGATTGTATGCAAATTTAACCAAAAATTAATATGACACATTCTATGTTTAAGAGGATTGTAGATATAGATATGCTTTGAATGACATGGACTTACAATATCCTATCTGGGGGACAATAATTTTACGCTACTTCAATCACTATTGAGGGCAGGGCCACTAACAATCTCAGTCAATAATTATATACTACCCACATATCATGGGATTTGTTGATTGCTGCTTTTGCAGCAGCAGCAGCCATTGTGTTACCACTGATACCAACAAGGCTGGGTGACCAACAGAAAATGATGTTGTAATGGCCAGTAGCAAGATTATTATATAATTCAACAATGTCGATTAAGAGTGGATTTATACATGACATATTTTTGGTAGCCTGAAGACACAAAACACAGTCTGAAAATATTATGAACTGCTAATGCTTCTATTTATTATGAATATGTCTAAGAACTGTTAAAATACCAATTGATTCTGATGTGAAAATTCAGCTGGCATGTGGTAACCTGGACGGGATGGTTCTGGATCCAATGATAGTAGCGCTAGCAACTGCGTCACCATCCTTGGATCCATCAGTATATTGGCATTTTTTATCCTTATTCCAAGACGGGGAATAAGAGATGATTTCTTTCGGTAAAGTTCCTCATAGAGGGGATGAAAAATGCAGTCGTATGCAGGATTAGATTTATTTGAAGATAATTTAGTGATATACTGTAAAGATAATGTTAATGTCAGAGTTGTAGTGATGGCTCGTAAGCCTCTATATATAGACTATTTATTGGAGATGTTCTGAAGGATCCTAGGAGTCTTAGTCCTTGATGATGAATAGAATCAAGTATTTTGAGATTACTTCTGCATGCTCACCCCTTAATGATAAACTGTAAGAAGTTTTGAACGGATGAGAGCCCCATAAAGTTGGAAGAGGGTATTTTGATTACTAAATAGTGTAACAGACAAGTACTACCTTGTGGGACACCCTGATCCTGATCATAATGACAGTTAAACATTTGGATATAAATTGAGGCAAGCACCCCTTAATCCAAAGTCATGTAAATCTTTTAAAATAACGTACTTCCATGTTGTGTCATATGCTTTTTCGAGATAAAAAAAAGATAGACACAGCATGTTTTTTATTTATAATTGCATTTTTCACAAATGATTCTATGAAACCACATTGTAATTCAATTATTGGTTTCTAAGAACCATATTAATCGATTATTGATCATGCATTCTATAGTTTTGCAAACGCAGCTGGTTAAGGAAATAGGTCGATTATTTGAGAGATCAGTATGATCCCTACCATGTTTCCGTATGGAAATAACTATGGCATCACGCCACGAAGAAAGAAATTAATCGGATGTCCATATGTAATCAAAAATCAGAAGAAGGATTTCTGAACATGGTTCAGGTTGTAGGTGCTTCAGGAGCTGATAGTGAATGTTATATCCTGAAGCAGTGTCATGAGCTTGCCCAAGAGCAGTATGGAGTTCATGTATTGAAAAAACTTCATTATAATCTTCCCTATTATTCGATTTAAAATTAATAGATTTCTTTTCTTGCTGCTTTGGATATTTGTGGAATTTAGGCATATAATTAGAAGAGAAAAAATGTTTCACCAGAGTTTCACCAAATTAATTTGCAATTTCATCTCTATTGTAAAGATGTTGGAGGCTGGAATTTGATCCCTTACCTTTTATTTTCTGAATCATGTTCCATACTTTAGACATGGGAGTGCATGGTTTTTTTTTTTTAGATGTAAGCTTGCCAAGACTGGCATTTATTTTGCTTGAAAGTATGTTGTGCTTTAGCATTTGAAATTTTGAAAGCGTTCAAATTATGGACCATAGGATGGCGATGAAAATAATGTTCAGTCTTTTTCCATGCCTTCCGAGCTTGTGTGCATTCATTCTTAAACCATGATGAAAGCAAACAAGCTTAGAAGGCACGGAAAAAGGCTGAACATAATTCATTATTATGAAACAATGGACCTGTGAAGATCCTAGGTAGAATAGGTCTTCAGAAACCCATGCTTGCCGTAAAAGGTGACTATGCTTGTTGTAAGAGGCAACTAATGGGACTGGATAGTCAGGCTTGCTGACTTGGTTGATGCATATCATCATATCCCAATTCTGTTGATCGATGCTCATAATGTCAATCACTGGATTGTCTGGTCAAGACTTGATTATTTACAGACCGCTGTCATATACCTGAAATATGGCTGAGTGTGGCGGTAAACAACAAACAAACAAACAAATACATGCATGAAACCATATGTGTGGAGTTGCAGAGGACTTTGGAATACATGCATCAGCTATTTTGATAAGTTCATCAGACAACAGTTGTACAGGGGCAGGAACATCAATACACAGCTCAGGTTTTAACTTGTTGGATGATAGTATTTCAAATAGAGGCCAGATGGCCAGTTTCATGGAGGAACGTGAAATGGAAGTATTGCTATTAGAAAATGGTCACTCACAGACAAGTCATCATTGACTGACCATTCAAACTTATTCAGCTGATTAGAGTCCGTAATGGACAAATCAAGGGAAGAGTAGATACCTGTACCAGGATTTAAACAAGTGTCGGAATTATCATTAAAAAGACACATATTGATGTTAGAAATAAAATCTTCCAGGACTTTCCCTTTACTGCTTGTATGCCCACTGCCCCGAAGGGGTTGTATCCATTCAAATCACCAATGATTATGCAGGGCTTGGGAAGCTGGTCGTACAGCACCTGGAAATCAGCATGCTGAAGAGTAGATGATGGAGGAACATAAAGAGAGCACCAAGTAACAATGTGCATGGTCACAAGGACAGCAACAGCCTGAAGAGTGGTATGGAGGGGAACAGGGCTATGATTGACGCCCTGTCTCACTAAGATTGAAGAACTGTCATAGCGACTGATAAACGACAACCATTATCTGAAGAACATTTGATTCCAAAGGCTAATTACCCTGTAGCCATGACATGTGACACGTTTCCATAAGTTAATTGTCATTATGTATTAGGCGCTCATCCCCGTTGTTAATCCTCACCAACATTTCATTGTATATTGACTGTCAGTCAACCTGGGCCTAGATTTTCAAAATGATCATAGCCCTAAAGTTATCGTAAATTTGTCGTAAGGAAATCGTAGGCTATCGTAGCATATTTTTGAAACTATCGTTGCCCTAAGATATCTTAAGATTGTCGTAAATCTAAGATAGCCCCATACCTGTCGTAAGTTTATTTTATCTTCATTCAAGACGGCGGCATACTTTTCCATAGATAATTTGACAAACCATTAGTCTGCTTTACGTTCAAACATTGACATTTCATTTTGTAAATCTGTGTGATTCAAATTGACACTTCGAAAACACGAAGAACGCATCAAGGATTTCACGTCAAAAATGTTCTTAATCGCGACAGCGATCCACATAATTGTGGAGTCGATAGCTTACAATATATTTCTATCCAAGTCTATGCTGAAGAAGTGTGAAACAACATACCTTTTCGATATTTTGGGAAGGATAAAAAAACGGAAGGTGTCGGCAGGCTACAGTAATGACTGTGACCTCATTGATAACTCAGGGGGAGCTAATCTTAGTTCAAACTCTAGTTGAGAGTGGTTTCCCTTTGTATTCGCCCGGGACACCGTCCTCAATATTACAGTTTTCATAAAGTGCAGAGTTCCACTGTTATATTTTCTGGATCACATTTGTGTTAATGCTTTAGTCTTTATTTTCGCATTTTACAAAGTTATATCAATCTACATATGTATAAAAAACCTTAAAGGTTTCGCATAAGTTTTTACATCTAAAATCGAGTGGGATGGGTGGTTTTAATAAATGAATTTTAACTATACAGTGTAGTATTTATTGACTTAACAAGGAAATACATGTGATCAAATACAATATCTAATATTTTTCTTGCAAAAGTAATTGTAATTTGTTTCGTTTTAAATTCAATACCTATGTTATCTATATCATCTTGAAAGACAAAAATTTGATAAAAAAAAATGAATGAAAACTGTCTGTTGAACAATTGCATTCTTTAAAAACATTGATTAACGGCATATAGATGTATTCAATTAAATATAACAATTTACTGAAATTTTGACAGCAAAAGTTAAGCACAGATTTTCGTATCGACAAATCAAATAAAAAATGGGTTCCCATGCTCGTTCTGGTTCTCGTCAAAATGTAGCATGGTTTGTAAATTCAAATATATGTTCGCAGAAAAAAAAGTTTATTGAATGAAATTTACTGATCAATATAAAATACACATTTTCAACACAATAATCTTTGCAATCAAAAAACCGGTTTTAAAATATTTTGGTGTTTTAATATTTAAGTCCACATCTTCCCATTTTATGTTTAAAAAATATATAGATATACTTGAGACCATTCAAACAATAAAATAGTCAGACAAGCCAAAGATCATTGAACTACATTCTGGAATAGATTTGACACATTACAAA